GTCATGGAGACCAGAGGTCAGCCCTGGGTATGTTCCTTAGGCGGCATCCACCTTTTTTATTTTATTTATTTGTTTAGAGATAGCTTCTCTCATTGGCTGGGAACTCACCAAATAGGCTAGGCTGGCTGACCAGTGAGCCCTGGGGCTCTGCCTGTCTCTGCTGCTTCAGCCTTGGGGTTTTAAACATATACTTCAATGCTGGTTTTTGTTTTTGTTTGATTCCACGGGTTCTGGAGATTGGACTCAGGCCCTGTACTTGTGAGGGAGGCACTTTACCGACAGCCGACAGCCGTTTCCCCAGCCTCCTTCCTTTCTTCATTCTTTACCCTCCCACTCCCCCTGAGACTGCTCCCTCCCTCATGGGCAGCCCTGGTTTCCTGGTTAGTGGATTTTATGCTTTGTTTTTTTTTTTTTTCTATGTGAGATCTTGAAAAAATGGTGTTTTGTGTCTATATCTCAACTCATACTTTTTGTTTTGTTTGTTTTTTATTTGTTTTGTTTTGCCTTCCCCCCACGGCCAGAAAATATTTGAATATGTAGCCCAGGCTGGATTTGAACTCGCCATGCTCTCTGTCTTGTCCTCCTGAGGGGTATGTGATTACAGGTTTACCTGCTGGCACCATTAGGCATGTTTCACCTTACCCATGTGCTCTGTGCTGTGACTCTAAGGTGGTTTCTTATCTTCAGGAGAGCTACTCACATTGATGTGGGTTCACCAGTCCTTCTTCACTGCCCAGTCCCTCAAAGTCACTTGTAGTCCTAGTACTCGGTGCACTCACCTGAGAGCGCCCTCTCATATCTGCTCACAGACCAGTGTGGTGATTTCTTTCCAAGGTCTCTTGTAGCCCAGGTGGACCTTGAACTTGGTTACACAGCCAAGGATGAGTTTGGATTTCTGATCCTCCTGCCTTCGCCTCCTAAGTGCTGAGATTCCAGGCTTGCACCACCACACCTGATTTACACAGAGTGAGAGATGAGCCCAGTGCTCTATCCACTGAGCCTTGTCCCCGGCCCTGACACGGTGACTTTGTAAACATGCTTCCTGAGGCTTTGGAACAGTGTGTCCCAGGGTGTGTACACTCTTGACTAAGTGCACCCAGACTCCGCTGCCTCTGGTGGCATCTCCTCTAAAGTGCTGGGAGTCCTTCGGCCTCCATTAGCTTTTATCCAGAGAGTGGAGTGTTGAGTGTCTAGTGTGTGCCAGGAGACAGCTCAGTGCATTGAAATGTCCCTTTCATTGACTATTGATGAATCTCAGGTTTGCTTCATACGCATTGGAGTATGTGTGTGTGTGTGTGTGTGTGTGTGTGTGTGTGTGTCTTTGAGCTATTGTGATGGTGGCTGTTGTGGTAGTTGTTATTGTTATGGCTGTTATGGTGATGACTGTTGTTATGGGTATAGTTATGGTTGTTGTAGTAGTGGGTGTTGTTACAGTGTGGTGGTGGCAGCTATTGTTATAACTGTAGTTGTAGTTGTTATGGTTGGGGGGATGTTGCTATGGTTGTTATGACTGTGGTTGTTGTTATGGTTGTTTGGTGGCTGTTACTGTGGTTGTTATAATTGTGGTTGTTGTAGTGGTAGTGACTGTTGTGGTTGTGTTGGTGATGGCTGTTGTTTTAGTTTTGGTTGTAGTTGTTATGGTTGAGAGGTTGTTATGATTGTGGTTTTGTTTTAATTGTGGTTGTTAATGTGGTTGCTATTATGGTTGTGGTTGTTATGCTTGATGATTGTTATTACTGTGAGTGTTGTTATAATTATGGTTGCTATTGTGGTTGGTACCATGGTTGCTATTTTTGTTGTGCCTGTTGTTATGACTGGTGGTTGTTGATGTGGTTGTTGTTATGGTTGTGCCTATTTATTATGGCTGGTGATTGTTGATGTGGTTGTTGTTATGGTTGTGCCTATTTATTATGGCTGGTGGTTGTTGCTGTGGTTGTTGTTATGGTTATGGTTGTTCAGTGGCTGTTGTACTGCTTGTCACTGTAGTTGCTGGATTTCAGGAATCCTTTACATGATCTAGATGCTAAATCCTTCCTGGACTTTGGATGTCTATTCTGTCACCTGCACATTAATTTTTTGCTTGTGATATCTTTTGTTTCCAGAACATTATTTGAGGGGCCTGTGAGATGGCTCAGCAATGCTTGTCCCCAAACCTGGCAGCCATCCTCCTGCCTCAGACTCCTGATTAGCTGGGATGACAGGCCTGAGCCGCCAGTCCTGGTTGTGGGTGGTTTTCTGGCAGCCATCCTTGGGGCAAGCCACTTTCCCACACTGGTCTGAGGGGTCGCCTTTGTCCTCTGCAGCCCCTCAGGCCCACTGCCTGCCCGTCTGGTCTTTGTGTCCTCCTGCACACGTGACCCTCATCTGAGTAGCATGGGGTTCTACATGCTGAGGTCATGAGGCCTCTCTCTCTGCTCCTGTTTTAGGATGAGTCTCTACCCTCCTCTTTCAGTGAGTTCTAAAGGGACAATCATGCAACCTGGATGTCATTTCGTATTCCCAAACAGCAGCCTGTCACCAGCTCCTACCCAGAGCTCCCATCTACCCAGGGAACCCTTGAAAACTGCAGTCTCCAGGAAGAAACCTGGCTTGAATGCCCAGGAAAGCTCTTCTCCCCAAAAAGGATACAGATGTTTCATTGTTTATCCCAGAGGACATGGTGACAACATCCACACAGGGGTTTGGTTATCACAACTCTGGGGGAGGGGACGTCTTCCTGGTGTCTAGTGGGTGAAGGCAAGGAGATGTCGCTAAACATCATGCCGTGCACAGAATGGTTCTTCACCTTGATAATAAATGTAGCTGCTGCCCTGCAAGTCAATAGTACCAAGCCTGAGAAACCCCACTTAAGCCTCTTGGAAGGCAAAGGTGTTTCCCAACCTAGAACTGCTCTTCTCTCAGTCCACAGGACATCTCCTTTGTGACACACTGAAGACACAGGGCAGGAAAAACAGACATCACTCAATGCCTGTATAATTAGTAAACATACAGGTCAGCCAGTCAGGGCATCCAGCTATAGTAAGTACCATGATGAAAAGCACCAGGAGGGAGCAAGGCACATGACTGATGGAGGCATCAGCAGTGTTGAGGAGGTGGTCCAGGGAGGCTTCCTGACAAGGTAGTCACAGGGAAACTGAGGATCACAGGGGGACATCAACCTTGTGAATGCTGAGGAAAGAGGTACATCAGGGAAGTTCCCAGAGCCCAGGCCCTGAGCATGGAATGTTCGAGAATATCTAGATTCAGGGCCTTTTATTTCCAAGAAGGAAGGAGCCTGAGTTTCCTTGTGTTGGGAAGCCCTGGCAGTTAGTTTTCCACAGAGGGGTCCCAGGCACTCAGGCCTGTTCTCAAGTGAGCCCTCCATCAAAGGGGAGCACCAGGGAGAGCTGAGCAACGCAAGGTAGTCTCAGGAGACTCAGAAGAAGGCTCCCACAATTGTCCAGACCAAATGTAATGAGCCCTGGACCAAGTGGTAGGCAATTCACCAGCCACAGGCCTCTGCAGAGATTCTTCTGCAAGTCCATGGCCATCGCCAAAGACCCCATGTGATTGGGTCACCCCGCCACACCTATCAAGTCTAGCTGCCAGCTTAGGGGAGAAGCATGCAGATCCGCTTGCACCTAAAAATGCAGGCAGAGGGCTGGCTCTGCAGGCCCCATGCAGCCCTGTGGCTGTGTGTCTACATGTTCACTCAACAAGGAGTAGTGGAAAGTTCCTTCAGGTGGCAGTGTGGCCTCGTGGCAGAGAGAGAGGACTCCTGGGCAGAATGGAGGTACAGAAGGGTGACCTAGCCTCTCTGAATTGTAACTCCTGGGCAGAATGGAGGTACAGAAGGGTGACCTAGCCTCTCTGAACTGCGACTTTCCCACCTCTAAAATGAGTAGCCATGGAGATAATGTCGGCTTTATTAGGTTATGAGGGGATTTTTTGGGTTTTTTTGTTTGTTTGTTTGTTTGTTTGTTTGTTTTTTGAGACAGGGTTTCTCTGTGTAGCTTTGGAGCCTTTCCTGGAACTTGCTCTGTAGACCAGGCTGGCCTTGAACTCACAGAGATCTGCCTGGCTCTGCCTCCTGAGTGCTGGGATTAAAAGCGTGCACCACCACCATCTGGCTATAAGGGGATTTTAAAAAATTCTCTTTTTTGTGTATATATTTGTGCATATGTGGGTATGTATGTTGAGGACAGAGATCAATGTTGGGTGTCTATGAGAAATATATATTTTTTTTGAGACAAGGTTTCTCTTGTAGCTTTGCGCCTTTCCTGGAACTTACTCTGTAGCCCAGGCTGGCCTCGAACTCACAGAGATCCGCCTGCCTCTGCCTCCCGAGTGCTGGGATTAAAGGCGTGCGCCGCTGCCGCTGCCGCCTGGCTGAGAAATATTTTTTTAAAGATTTATTTATTTTATGTATACGACTGCTCTATCTGCATGTACTGCATGTATACTTGCAGGCCAGAAGAGGGCATCAGATCCCACTATAGATAGTTGTGAGCCACCATGTGGTTGCTGGGAATTTGAACTCAGGACCTCTGGAAGAGCAGCCAATGCTCTTAACCACTGAGCCATCCTTCCAGACCCTATGAGGAACTTTTTAAAGCCCTTTACCACCAATGGCTCTGTCTGGTCAACTGCAGGTCACTGAGGCAACTTGGGGTTGCTGAGGGAGGGGCTTCTGTGTCCAGCTC